CCACAATGATACTCCGGTTGTCCTCTGTCAATTCTTGTTGTACCGACAGGCGTGTGTGCTCCCATCCTTGATGCAGAGAATCCTTTTCTTGCCTGTTATGGTTGTTATGATGTTGTTCTTTTCAATTGTTTATTATTATCATGCTTTGCTTATGTTCCCATATGGCATGATTGATTGATTGTTGTTTGTTGTTTGATTAATTGCCTTGAGATGGATTGTTGTTTGTTGTTTGATTGATTGGCTTGAGATGGATTGTTGTTTGTTGTTTGATTGATTACCTTGAGATGGATTGTTGATTGTTGTTTGATTGATTTCCTTGAGATGGATTGTTGTTTGTTGTTTGATTGATTGCCTTGAGATGGATTGTTGTTTGTTGTTTGATTGATTGGCTTGAGATGGATTGTTGTTTGTTGTTTGATTCATTGCCTTGAGATGGATTGTTGATTGTTGTTTGATTGATTTGCTTGAGATGGATTGTTGTTTGTTGTTTGATTGATTGCCTTGAGAAGGTACAATCCATGTAGGCCGATTGTTTGCTGTTTGTTGCCTTGAGATATTACATGTTTATATCGCACGATTGACTGTTGTTTGTTCATGGTTATTACAATTGATTGATTGTTGTTTGTTGATTGGTATCTAATTTTGGCATTGGTAGTTCCTGATCATAGGTAACAGACCTGGTGCTATTATTTTTTTTGAATTGTTTTGTGATTATTATGCCTTCACATTGCACTGCTCCCAGATCCATATCGACAGGCCCACGCTGTCTGACGAGGATAAAGATGTAAGGAACTCCTCCTAAGAATCTCTCTTGCTCCTTGTATTAACTTGGCGACTAGACTTTACATGTTAATTTTTTTCGTGAAACTGGAGCTCCTTGCTGTAACCCGTTATATGACTTTATGAGCATGTGCCACTTTCAGGTTATGAAAAAATGGGGTGCTCCAAACAAGACTGACTTCCTCTCTTTCTCATACAAGGCATGCAGAATATTTGCGGCAAGTAAGTAAGTCTATGCCGATATTAAGAGTGTACTACTTCACAGTGCCATCTTTCTCAACAGATTGAATTTTTTTATATTGATATTTTGTTGAATATCACATGTTTGTTTGCACTTCATACTTTGGAAAATATTCCTAACGTTGATAGTAATTAACATGTATTTTTCTCTATTGAGTACTACTTTGTTCGTTCTTTAAGTGTTCTTATTTCAGAAGTCTGCTCTGCACAAGTACACATGGCTGGAAACCTTGGTGCTGAGACTCTTCGTGGGTTGTATCCAGTTGAGACTACTTCAACGGTAGGAAGAATTTGTCCTGAGGTGAAACTTTCTTTTGGAGGTCTATATGTTCTCTTGATAAACACAGGCCTGTTTAGGAGGGCATTTGTTGATAGGTTCCCTTTTGTAGTTCAAATCAGACTTCAATACTAATAAAATGTTACAGATAAATACTATTCTTCCGAACAGCCCCTAAATGTGTTCTCAACAAGTATATCCTTGGCACTCTAATGGAATCTAATGCAAATTCAATCCTTCCTACCTTTTCTCTTTTCATATTTGGTGATATATTTTCATGAATTGTTTCACAGGCTGAGAAGGTCTTCAACCAGGATTTCTACTTCAAGCGAACCATGAAATACGTGGGAGAACCCATGATCCACTTGGAGTCTATTGCTTCCTCTCCGGTGCGTATTTTGTTTCTTTTCATTTTCCAACCTTTTGTTAGTGTTTACAGGGGAACAATTTCTGTCTTCCATTGATTGATTATCAGTCTAGGACACTTAAGTCTGAAAATAGTTCACCACCTATTTGCTAGGTGCGGGCTACTATTAAAGTTAAGGCTTCGGTCATCATTTGCTTCACCTCATCTGGATAGGAGAAAAGGGAGTATTTCTTCTTATAGGGGCTTCACCTCATCTTGTAGTTTAATAGAAATTGATTCATATATTATGCCGTATCGAGTATCTGCAGGATAATTGCCAAGTACAGGCCCACCATGCCATTCCTCATCTAAAAACAAATCAATTGAAGTGGATCTTCCAAGTGCATCTGAAGTATGTGAACAGCCTGTTTCCTTGTAACCTTTTTAGTGTGGTGTTCAACTAGACTCACTAATTAACATGTATTACCACGTATCTAATACATCCATATCTAGACAAATCTAAGGCAAGTAATTTGGGATGGAGGGAGTACTATAGATTTTTGCCTGATAAGAAACAGTACTACTTAATTATGTTGGAGCAAGACTTGTCTCTGGTGTTTGGCAGTGTGCCACTGTTATAGCTCATATTTGTTGCATTATCTACCTGCAGGCAAGACAATCACTCATAGTTAGAGTCCTCTTTCCCATGCTTGCCGATCCACATCACGCGGTGAGTTAACTTGCCTTTCATCTGTTAGATACATTAACCATTCTTTGGTGGTTCTTTTCAATTTTAGAATACATGACCCAGTATGTATAATATGAAAAATAGGAACTACCTATAAATACCAACGTCCTTGTTCTGAACATAAAGGGAATAATGGCAGTTGGAGTTAGTGCATATTCCCAATATGTTAAAAGTGGATGCTTTACATACACCAGGCCAGTGAATTAATTCCACTTGTAGGGTTTTCGCTTGCATCATGTTCTACTTACAAGTGGAATAAACACTAGACTGCAGTTCACTTTCGAACTGTTGGCAAGTCATCATAAGCTTGGTTAATCAGTACATTATTTCGAACTTGACTGGTGGTAGGCTGGTGTGTTTATTCTGTATAATATGAATGCAATACGTGAGCTTATAAGCTGGTGTGCACCAGTGAGGCTGATGTTTGGAGGTTTCATCTTGCATCCACCTTGAATTATTTGGTAGCTAGAATTCCTTGATTTGGACCCAACAAGTAAGAAGCTTGGTTTGCCTCGTGATTTGTACTGACATTGTTTCTCTGCCCTGTAGGCTGAATCTACTAGCACTATAAATGAATCAGTGTTGAAGGTTGCTCTTGACCACGGCAAAGCATCCGGTGTGATCACGTCGCATGGCTTACCTTAGCCAGAATTTCTATAAGAATGTTGCTGATGTTACATGCCTTGCTTTCTCTAGTAAGTGGAACAAGAATACATTAACATTTCTTTTATGTTCATATGCGTACACTCAGAATATTTGAATTACAAACCAAATTCTACATAAATAAGCATGTGTCTCTGTTCCTACAAACTTGTGGGTATTGATGAAGATAATCACTTAATCAGCCTCTAACTAGCTTCCTATTTTCAGGAACGAAGATCTGGATCACCCTCGCCCCTCTAGAGAAATCAGTTTACTCATTCAAGTTCTGGAAATTCTTTATAGCTTTTTGAGTTTACTTCGGTCTTGCATGTACTACCTTTCTGTTTGTGCCCCTATCTATGTATCTCTACTCCTAATGGAGCAGTTGGTAGTCTCGCTTCCAGGGTTTTTTTGTCCCACCTACCATGGTTTTTTTGGTACCTCCTCCCACCTTTGCTGGTTTTTTTCATAGATTTTTTTTCATCCCCTCCCCCCACTTCATCGGTTTATTTTCGCTTCACCCTCTCACACACCGAAAAAAAACTGAACGGATCAGAACTTTCCATACTGACACAAATTATTTAGTAATGTCTTTATGTAAAAGAATCAACCACAATAAATCTCTAAAGATCAAATCTAAATTAATTAATCTTCATAACGTTTGTTTCCTTCCGAATCAGGTCCATAACTTTCCTTCCTTGTTTGGGGAGAAACTGTTTGGTAGCAGAGATTAGGAAGCTTCCTATGAGCGTAGTAATAGGAAGTATTCTTTTTCTTGATGATTCGTTTCCATGCATGATGATAGTAAATTAGGCCAACATTCACCACTATTTATCAACGTCATCAATCGTGTCTATTCCTACCAGTTTTAAGGGAATCCACTCACTACGTCTTTTTTAAGGGGATCCGCTTGCTACATCGTTGTGGCACGTTATTTTCACAAGCAATTCCCCTAAAAAAACACAGCGCCCTACCTCGACTTCCCTACCTGGACGCCGCCGCCGCCGCCCATCGATCTCGCCGCCTCCCGGCGATCCCCTCCTCCCTCCCGCAGCTCGAACGACCTACTATTTTGGCCACGAGTACCGCCTGCCTCTTCGCCCATGCGTCGCCCCTCCTCTTCACCATAGCCACGAGCACCATCCGAGGCGGAGCCGCGGCACCTCCACAGATGCAGCGGAGACACCATATCCAGTGGAGACGGCGGTGTAAATCTTCTCCCACTCTGCTCCTTCCCCTGGTTACCGGCCTGCTCCACCTCCCCTCTGCTTCGTGTGGATCTGCTCATGTGCAGCAGTAAACTTTATTTAGGTAGAACTATTCTTCTATGCCTTTTTTTGTTACTTACAAATTAACTTTTTGAGCCAATGCTTACGGCATGAAGTATTACCTAGAGTTCCTTAATCAATCTACTTGTCCATCGTTTCATTTGGTTCAATTACTATCAGCAAGAACGCATTGTAAAACCGTTAGCTTATGAATGTGTGCTCTTCCTGCATGAAGTATGGGAGGTTTTTTTTCGTCCCACCTCCCATGGTTTTTTGGTACCTCCTCCCACCTTCGCTGGGTTTTTTCGTAGATCTTTTTGTCCCCTCCCACCACTTCATCGGTTTATTTTCGCGTCACCCTCTCACACAATGAAAGAAATCTGAACAGATCAGAACTTTCCATACTGGCGCAAGTTATTTAGTAATGTAGAATCAATCACGAACAATCTCTAAAGATCAAATCTAAATTAATTAACCTTACCTTAAATCGCTCAATCACATTAATTAGAAAACAAATAATTGATTTTCAGAAAAAATCGCTCAGTCACATTAACCTTACCTTAACTCATGGATGGTAATCAATCCCCAAACAAAGGAAACAATACATCGAGGGAGCGGTAAATAAACTCCCTTTCTTATGACATGTATATGATCTTCCCTTCCCTCTCCGTTGTCGAGCGTTCTTGATTCTCGAGGCCCATGCTTGGGCTACGTCACTGGGTCGTGACGGTGCCGGAGGACGAGAACGGCGAGGCCGGGTGCCGCGGCACCGCGTTGGCCGCGACCGGTGAAGGGGGCGAAGAAGGGCGGCTTCCCTGGCCCTGGGAGTTGGTGCGGTGGAAGCGGCACTTGAAGGACCCGGCGTGGGTGGCCGGCGCGCAGACGCACTTGGAAGCAGGCCACATCCTCCGCGTATTCTTGGAGCTGTGGCTAGCCGATTTACATGAAATTAATTCCCTCAGATGTGGTGGCAAATATAATACACATAATCCATATTGTTATGCACTAGCGTGTGTGTGAAATAGATTGATTATGGTCCCGTACCCAATAATATGGATATGTGTGTGTGTGTTAGAGAGAGGGGGGGGGGGAGAGTGAGGAAAAAGGAGGCAGAGTGTGTGTGTGTGTGTGAGGATTAGATGGTAAAAAAGGTCGTCAATGTCACTTGATATGTATGAGAATATTAGTATTGAACTCTTAAAGTTAATGTGGCCCCGTTGCAACGCACGGGCGTTGTTCTAGTGTTTCTTGTGTGCAAGTGCTCCATTCTGTGTGTGTGTGTGACTGGGTGTGGCTTGACTGTGTGTGTGACTGTGTGTGGCTTGATTGTGTGAGTGCTTGACTCTCTGTTTGTGTGACTCTGTGTGTGCTTGACTCTCTGTTTGTCTGACTCTGTGTGTGCTTGACTCTCTGTGTGTGTGAATGTTGCATTTGCTTGATGGTGTGGCCTGTATGCTTGAATGATGATTGGTGTGGTTTAACACTGCCTTTGCCGGTCCCAAGCCCGGATGTGAAAATGTGGAGGGAGCTGCATTTACCTCCTTTGCATTTTATATATACACCTTCTGAATTTTGTGGCTGATGGCCTTCTAGTTTACCTAGATGGTTAGCTTGTTAATTAGTTTTGTGCATGCAAGACATGATATCTAGCTGATGTAGTGTTTAGTTTCTGTGCATGATAAATGGTTCGGTTGTGCACCTTTTTAAAGATGTGGCCCGTTTTCCCCTCTATTTTCCTCTTTTGGATGTTACTAGCATTTGCTGTGTTTCTGAATTGATTATATGTTGTAAGATATGGTTAGCATATATAGTTCAGAGATAAATGTCTTTGTTTGCAGCAGTACATTTTATTCTTTCCAATGGTGATTTTACTACTGGTTTTTGTGTGTTGGAACTCTTGCGGAAGTTCCAATGTATATCTATTTCAATATCATATTTGTACTATAACATCACTGAAGCAAGTGGTATGTTTTATTTGAGATGAGTGAGGTGACTGCAGTAGCCCCGCAACAGCAATTATCTAGTTACGTTAACATGACTTTTGAACAATCAGGTAGTTCGCAGTATGCAGTTTTACTTATATTCAGGAATGAAGCTTCTTCACTTCCTATCAGCAGGTTGTCCATGTTGTGTGTTTCAATTCTTTGATTCACCTGTATTTTCACTCAACAGGTTGTCCATGTTGTGTGTTCCATATGGATTAGACGTCGTCGACTACTTTGTCTTCGATGCAGCGGCTCCTTGTTGGGTCTTTAGTACTTCTGTGTGTTCACTTTTTAATCCCCATTACTCGTGATGCTCTTTGCTTCTGTGTAATTTGGACCTCTGGTTGTGATCTTCTGAGCGGTGTCTCTGCTCGTGTGGACACACATGATTTGAACCGCGATTTTGAGCCGTAATTCTGCTAGTGAGGCAAGCATGATTTCAGCGGTGTTTCCATGGGAATTTGAACCATGTCTGTGTTATGATCTTGTGAAAATGTTGCGTGAATATTTATTGCCAATCGTGTGTTGTGCCAATGCTGCCTTTGGTTGATTGTGTGGCTTGTTGCTTAGCTGAATGTTTGGTTGTAGTGTTTGCTATTTCTTTTGAGTTTTGTAGTTTTGTAGTTTTAACACTGCCTTTGCCGGTCCCAAGTCCGGATGAGAAAATGTGGAGGGGACTGCAGTTAGCTAATATGTTTAGAACTTTCACAATCTCCAAATATATTGCAATGAGTAGTAGTGAATGAAGTGAGTAGAAGTTGTACAGACTGTCCTAGTAGAATACTCCCTCTGTCCCAGTGTAAAAAACATTCTTATATGATGGGACGGAGGGAGTATGTTTTACTTGCGTTCCCAAAGGAAAGTGAGTGTATAGAAGCCTTGCATGAAAGGCCTCCTGTACCACAATTCTCTAAGATGCAGTTCAAGTGTTGTGGGTTGCTTCCCTAGAAAATGATGTGGTATTGCTGGACAAGAGATACACAGTAGGGTAAAGTGTAGCAGATTAAGCCGGATTTGTTTTTCATCCAGAGTTGGTAATCCTGTGGCCTGAGAGTGTTTAATTTTCTTGCATTGGCCTTCACATCCAGAGTTGGTGATCCTGTGGTTGTCTTGGTCGAATATGTGTCCATGTTTCCATTATAGAATTAGCACCACTTATTTTGCAAAATTTGCAAAGCACGGATAAAACACCATGTTCCGCATTGCACAGTCCATGTAACACTATGGGGCACTCCGGTCATATGAGTTGCTTTAAAAGAGCATGTAGAAGGGAATAACTACTAGACTCTTGCATGAATTATGTATATGTACAACATAATAGCAACCATAGAAGGCGAGAGAAAATCGAACCATTTAAGCTCTTCAATGCAAATTCCTTTTCGAGAGGACCAACATCATAATTCCGAAGAATTGCTGAAACTTTTCCATGGACCGCCTGATGAGAGGTCTGCATAATTTATTTTTACAAGCAAAACGGCCTGTGCATTGCAACGGGGGTAAAAAACATAACCTCCAATTATCATGACCACACTTTGCTGCATTATTGAGATACACCATCACTCTCATTTTCATGAAATCTTGAACAATTTTTAAAAATCATGAACATTTTTTAAAACTCGTGAACACATCTAAAATTGTGAACAATTTTCAAATTCGTGAACATTTTTACAGATTTTCTAAAAATTCCTAAATCATGAAAAAAATGAATTCATGAACATTCTATACTATTTGCAAACATTAAAAAAACAATTGTGAACATTTTTATAAACATTTTTCTTGAATAGGCGAACATATCTAGAATCAATGAATAATTTTTCTTTGAAATTGGTGTAACAATTTTTAAATTCACGAACATTTTTTTGATTTAACGAACATTTTTTGAAATGTCATTTTTCTGAATCCGGGAACATTTTCTGAATCAATAACCTATTTTTGTAAGTCACGAACAGTTTTTTAATTTTTAGCATATTTTTCAATTCATTACCATTTTTTGAATTGGCGAAATTTTGTTCAATTTTGTTAACAATTTTTAATAAACGAAATTTTTGTAAACAAATCAAGAACATTTTTGAATTTTCTAAACATTATTTTCAAAATTGTGATTTTCTTAATATGCTAATATTTTTGAAAATCACAATCATTTTTTGAATTCACAAACATTTATAAATTATTAAACATTTTATTTCAAAATTCACATTTTTTTGAACTTTTTTGAAGTCCCAAATTATTTAATGTAAAAAAACAAAGACACAAAAGGAAAACAAAAAATAAAAAAATAAATTAAAAAACAGGCTGCCCAGACATGGGTCAGCCCAAACAGGTGTGTTGTGTCTTCTCCCAGCGCGCAGAGCGCGGTATAGAAAATTCTAATGCATGGGCCGGCCCAGGCAGATATTGCCGTGTGTGAAACGTTTTTATTAGTTATAGGTGGCTTACTAAAAAAGAAGAAGTTATAGGTGGCATTGGAGGGTAATATTTTGCAACTTTGGGGGCAATTTTGATGATGTATTGCTAGAAGCAATAGCCTATTTATTATTAGGTATAGATATATAAACCCAGTAACAGAGGTAATTAAGTCCCATTTTGTTTTGTTTTACTTGATAAGTATCCAACCCAACTCAACTATCTATTAGTTTGTTCCATAATCCAAAAAGGCCATATATATAGGCACACTAAACTACCACTAGACATCTTAAATGTTAAAACGGATACATACTGAATCATTTCTACCCTTACCTTAATGAAATACTCAGGCTTTGTAATCAGAAGAGAACAAAGCCTTTTTTTGGCAAATGGCCAGGTTTTGCCTCGTGAATTCTTGAAATCAAAATTTTAATATATTAAAGTATTACGGTCAATAGAATGAAGGAAACAGACATCCAAGACATTATAGTTGCAATCTAATGAAAATGTGATACCTCTGAATGAGTTCGAATATATGGATTAGGAGCTTCACCTTCTGTTGCTTTGCTGCATTGGTATATTCACCAATTTGCAATCCACACCCCTCCCTTATCAAGAAGAATATAGAATCATCACTACAAGTCTTGATCGTATCAAACCCATTGAGTTTACCGAATCGGCTTTGAGCTGCAAGGAGAAGAATAGTTGTAGGGACAATCTTCCCATGCTCGATGTAATTCCATAGCTCATCGACAACATTATCCGCGTGAGCTGCAAGCAATTTACTAATGCAATCAAAGCAGTAACCGGTGTAAGGAGGGATTTGATACAAACCATCTCAGGTAGGCAAAGCAAAATGTAGCCAAAGGAAGGCCACCTGATACTCCATCACACTGTATTCAAGAAATGATATTGTGCAAAAAAAAACTTTAATTAGTAACAATGTGTTGGTAACCATGCGTAAACAAAACAGTGTAGACAATTCAAACAGACTGTTTCATAGGAGATTGAACAACTAAAAAAAGAATTATATATTTGTATTTGTTCATAATAGTAACCTAAACTATAGCCAGCAATACAAAGAACCATCTTTACTATGACAACACAATGATATTGCTAAGTAACTATCATCTGCATTTATACATTTTCAGCAACACAACATCAAATCCTTTACGGTTACGCTTAATACTAAAGATTGAGTAAAATGAAGTACAAGTACCAACGAAAGGAGGATCAATAGTACAAAATTGTAGATTTGCTTTACCTGCAATACATCTTCAGAGATCACTTTAACAACAACCATGCTTCTATATCTAATTACCTCGGTACTTCCATTTTGCAATATGTTGCTAACTGTGGATATATGAAAGTATTATATGTACTCATTAAAATATTACTCGTGAAAGTACACTATTCCAAAATAGAACAATAAATTAGATGCAAGATTGATGACAGTCTGAAGTTGAAATCCTACCGTTTACTGATGTAAACTTCATGAGCAATATAGCATTCAAGCCATATATCCAGTTTGCTCAGGATCAACTACCCTGCCTTGAGAAAAACTAACACAATCAGGTTCATTATACACAACGGTCATGCTTCTATATCTAAATATCTCTCCAACTTGTATGC